AAACGGTGGGTTGATTCTCTTTTTGTCAAAATCGTGTCTTTTATTGCAGATCAAGATCACTATAAAAGGATCAATAACTATTAGGAAACTGTTGTGTATAATAATAAATTTAATCAGTTTAAATATCCGGAAAGAGGATGGATCTTAAGATCAGAAATGACAGTGAGCTGTATAAACCTAAGTATAAAATTACTAAAAACATCCTTAGGCATCACAAATTTGCTGGTCGGAAAAAAAGCATGATCAATGTAGATTTGAAATGTACAAAAAATACTGTGGCCTGTAAAGGACAAAGAGTCACAATGAGGATAATTTTGATTAGCACATGTTGTTTGAGAACTAGACCGTGAAGTCAAAGTCAAAACGCAACTTTGATCTGAAATACCTTGGCTAATTATAATTCTTAGTCTGGTACTACAAACTACTAAGAACCATAGTAATTAAGAACCACAATTGGCGGAAGTCGCCATTTCGTCCAACTTTCTGGCTGGAAAAATTCGAAACGTTGACTCCGGAATTATGCAAGTCATTCTGCGAGTTATGTTTAGGTAGATCCATTATCAAACTGGACTCAACAGGATGCCGATTTCTGTGCTCGAATGCTTGAACGAATAAATAGTTTTGCAAGTACAATGGCCGATATGGTTAAATATTCGTTTATTATTGAACCGGGCACAGTTACACCGCATTTGTCGGTAAACATTTTGGAAAAGACCTTCAAAATTCATTTACCTTTCGAAGATCGAGACAGAAATATTCTCGAGTTTTCATTCTACTTTTTTTGTTTCGCCATTTCCTCTTTCTTCGTAAAATAGTATCATATACACTTTGCTAACGTAGTCTTACCGCGCCAAGTAGAGTTAGAATTTTTATAGCTTAATGAACCGAAACGTATTAGTTCTGTGCTATACTTCTGCTTTTGCGGCTTAGCAGAGCGTGCTCGGCCTACAGGAGCTCATCTCAATAGCGCTACTAACATGGATTAGGCATGACGATTGTAGAAGTAGTCTTTTCATTGCTAAAAAGCGATTTTCACTGCTTTTCCAATCCTAATTGGCACAAGAATCAGTCCACAACCTCTTTTTTGGAGCACTCAGACTGGTGTTAAGAGGAAAGCTAGTTTTGAAATTTTGCTATTACAATTGAGAGAACTTCGCAAATTTTATCGAACTTTTCAGGAATATGTCGCAGAATTCCGACAACTAGAAACGTTCTTTGAGCGGAATCCCCTATCACCGGAAGAAGCGGAACAAAGCGCTTTCAATCGAAATTATCTCAAAGCAAGGAATAGATGTTAGTCTTCTGAAGCATCGTGGCTAAAAAATGGACTGAAATCAATTCTTGCAAAGACTGTTTTTTTCCCAGCTCAAACTTACTAGTTTTTGCTGTAAAGATCGTAGTAGCTCTGTCGAATTCTTGGAGAATTTATGCACTGAAACTGCATTTTGTTCCGTTTTCTAGTATTTTTCGTTTGA